CTTTGACTATTCCCTGATGAAGCTGCTACTTCCATTTCACTAGCTATTGTGGCTCACCAGTTCGCACGGTCTTTCTTGAGGCTCTCCGTGAGCCGACGTTGTAGATGCCACTCAACTCCATTTTGATCCTGCCATTATGTATTCAAGAAGTAAAATAAAAGAACAGTGATCGATCCATCCTCAATCTAGTCAAACGCACATGTAATTGATTCCCATGTCGGTTAAGTAGCATATCAGAAGTAAATGAACCACAGTCTGCAGGAAAACAAGGTATTCGTCTGGAACCAGTGAAAGCGCTTACATATCAAGAACCGCAGTTAACTCTTTCGGTTCAACTTTATTGTGTGCAAACGTTGACGATGCAACTTCCNCACGAGCCCCATTTTACACAAAATGTGCATCGCACACATTTCTACTCAGTTCCGTATCCCAATCTACCCATACCCTATTATTGTTATTTTTGATGCAACGTTGGCACCATGCCGATGTTTTGTATATATAGATATATATATCGAGCTTTCTTCACGAGCGATTTATGCTGACTGATGTTATCGGGTGCGGCTGATTCTAACTTTTCAGCAGGCGCCTTGTGGAAAACAATTAGCTTAGCTGGTTGAGATAGCTTACGATTCGAGCGCTTAGTGCAGACTACCTCGTGGTAGGATTCAACGGGTAGGGGAACCTCCAGAACGATATTAAGCTTTGTATACAACCCCTTCCATTATGTTTTATGGTGATGTGATCACTGCGTCAGCCGCTGCGCTCACTCTAGGATCCAATCTAGCAGGGCCCTTCAACTTTCTCACTGAGAGCCACACCAACGCCAGTAAGACTGGGAGCAGCAGTCTAGAGGTCCATAAAAAGGTATACGTGGAACTTTGGTGCTTGGTTTGCTGGAGACGCCAATCGGATGATGCAGTTGGAGTGTAACGCGTAAACGCAAAATAACGCATTTCTTAGATGTCGCGTAAGCCCGCAGTGATGATTAATACTTTGGAAAGACAATGGTCGCGCGAGCGATCCGCACAACAATCGAATAATCAAGGGTGAATCTCGGTCATAAAATGCATACATCCGCCGACGCACAAAGACGGCTTACGAAAAAGCGCAATGGTGCGACGGGATTTATCGACAAAACAGCGACTACACTATGACCCCGAAAAACGATTCAACTACTCACATTACAAAAGCAGTCACACAAACGGCATCCAATATTTGGAAAAGCATTCAAAACCAAGGCAAAGCCAAAACGGAAAGCCGACAGTAGTTGACATGCACAACAACAAAATACCACATACGGAGTGCAAGATGCTTTTCTCCCATTGTTTCCATATGACGCAGAACCCGGCGATGACCTCGACTCCGCTTTTTCACGTTCAGGAGCACCTTCCGCAACCGTTCTGTAAGAAATCACGTCAAAAACAAGTCACATGACAACACAGTCACATATACAAACCAAAGAAGAAAAACCAATGCTACCATGCAGTAGTCTCGTGAACAACCATAAGTTAGAAAGGATGAAGAAGAAGAAAAGGGTCGGACATGATTTTTAAATTGTGTGTTCACTGTAGCTTTATGGACGGGTACTACCAGCGAGTCTAACCACTAAGCAGGAAAACGATTAGGGTTCTCAACCCAAGCCTTTAGTTCTGACAAGAACCTAACCGCAAGGCAGCGGATAAGGTGGATTGAAGGCTCATTAACTTGGATCAGTTATTCCTCGAACACGTTTTACCGACTGGGACGCTAACTCAAGTCGAACCCCCGATCTGGAGGACCGGAAGACTGGACTTTGTTTGACCTCTACCCATTGATTTTCCAGGCATGATTAGATCTTTGGATCAACAAAAGCCGTAGTTCGCTGGGTCAAGGAGGTGCACAAGCAATCACGAAGAGCACCACTGAAAACAGAGAAAAGAGCTCTACATAGGACTCCAGTTTAAAGATGACAAATGTGAACTACGAAAACGACGATGAAAAAAGAGCACGGCCCGTTCTTTTCTGGCTGCAACGCTACGTGCACAATACATAAGCCGACGAATAACCTCCGAAAATCTTAAAGAAAAATTACCTATCTTTTCCTCATTTATAGTCAATTACCAATTTCTTTGCTCACATTCAACTAGTTGCGTAGGAAGAATGGTCCGGAAATTAGTCCAAACAAATGAGGAGCATAGGTCAACACAACTGGGTATGGGTACAAGGAAAATTATAACAAGTGCAATGGTTGAACACCAAGAAGAGATGGATCATCAAGCGACCGAGGACACCTTCAAAGTGCTCTTCAAAGTAAAGGGCACCCGTCGAGGTCAGCAAGCTAACATTCAGGAAGATGATAAGATATAACAAAGAAATAAATCACGTACGAAGTGGGTGGCTTCTTTTTCCTACGGTTTTTCTTTCCTGTGGAAGCTTCAGTTTCTGTTGGATACCCATCACCGGTTGGTTCCAAATCTTCTGTATTTCGTCCTCCAACGGCACCAGTTTCCACGGCCACTGGTGCCGGAGGTTTTGTCACGGGTTGCTCCGATTCTCCCCGTTCAGGAGCACCTTCCGCAACCGTTCTGTAAGAAATCACGTCAAAAACAAGTCACATGGCAACACAGTCACATATACAAACCAAAGAAGAAAAACCAATGCTACCATGCAGTAGTCTCGTGAACAACCATAAGTTAGAAAGGATGAAGAAGAAGAAAAGGGTCGGACATGATTTTTAAATTGTGTGTTCACTGTAGCTTTATGGACGGGTACTACCAGCGAGTCTAACCACTAAGCAGGAAAACGATTAGGGTTCTCAACCCAAGCCTTTAGTTCTGACAAGAACCTAACCGCAAGGCAGCGGATAAGGTGGATTGAAGGCTCATTAACTTGGATCAGTTATTCCTCGAACACGTTTTACCGACTGGGACGCTAACTCAAGTCGAACCCCCGATCTGGAGGACCGGAAGACTGGACTTTGTTTGACCTCTACCCATTGATTTTCCAGGCATGATTAGATCTTTGGATCAACAAAAGCCGTAGTTCGCTGGGTCAAGGAGGTGCACAAGCAATCACGAAGAGCACCACTGAAAACAGAGAAAAGAGCTCTACATAGGACTCCAGTTTAAAGATGACAAATGTGAACTACGAAAACGACGATGAAAAAAGAGCACGGCCCGTTCTTTTCTGGCTGCAACGCTACGTGCACAATACATAAGCCGACGAATAACCTCCGAAAATCTTAAAGAAAAATTACCTATCTTTTCCTCATTTATAGTCAATTACCAATTTCTTTGCTCACATTCAACTAGTTGCGTAGGAAGAATGGTCCGGAAATTAGTCCAAACAAATGAGGAGCATAGGTCAACACAACTGGGTATGGGTACAAGGAAAATTATAACAAGTGCAATGGTTGAACACCAAGAAGAGATGGATCATCAAGCGACCGAGGACACCTTCAAAGTGCTCTTCAAAGTAAAGGGCACCCGTCGAGGTCAGCAAGCTAACATTCAGGAAGATGATAAGATATAACAAAGAAATAAATCACGTACGAAGTGGGTGGCTTCTTTTTCCTACGGTTTTTCTTTCCTGTGGAAGCTTCAGTTTCTGTTGGATACCCATCACCGGTTGGTTCCAAATCTTCTGTATTTCGTCCTCCAACGGCACCAGTTTCCACGGCCACTGGTGCCGGAGGTTTTGTCACGGGTTGCTCCGATTCTCCCCGTTCAGGAGCACCTTCCGCAACCGTTCTGTAAGAAATCACGTCAAAAACAAGTCACATGGCAACACAGTCACATATACAAACCAAAGAAGAAAAACCAATGCTACCATGCAGTAGTCTCGTGAACAACCATAAGTTAGAAAGGATGAAGAAGAAGAAAAGGGTCGGACATGATTTTTAAATTGTGTGTTCACTGTAGCTTTATGGACGGGTACTACCAGCGAGTCTAACCACTAAGCAGGAAAACGATTAGGGTTCTCAACCCAAGCCTTTAGTTCTGACAAGAACCTAACCGCAAGGCAGCGGATAAGGTGGATTGAAGGCTCATTAACTTGGATCAGTTATTCCTCGAACACGTTTTACCGACTGGGACGCTAACTCAAGTCGAACCCCCGATCTGGAGGACCGGAAGACTGGACTTTGTTTGACCTCTACCCATTGATTTTCCAGGCATGATTAGATCTTTGGATCAACAAAAGCCGTAGTTCGCTGGGTCAAGGAGGTGCACAAGCAATCACGAAGAGCACCACTGAAAACAGAGAAAAGAGCTCTACNAAGAGATGGATCATCAAGCGACCGAGGACACCTTCAAAGTGCTCTTCAAAGTAAAGGGCACCCGTCGAGGTCAGCAAGCTAACATTCAGGAAGATGATAAGATATAACAAAGAAATAAATCACGTACGAAGTGGGTGGCTTCTTTTTCCTACGGTTTTTCTTTCCTGTGGAAGCTTCAGTTTCTGTTGGATACCCATCACCGGTTGGTTCCAAATCTTCTGTATTTCGTCCTCCAACGGCACCAGTTTCCACGGCCACTGGTGCCGGAGGTTTTGTCACGGGTTGCTCCGATTCTCCCCGTTCAGGAGCACCTTCCGCAACCGTTCTGTAAGAAATCACGTCAAAAACAAGTCACATGGCAACACAGTCACATATACAAACCAAAGAAGAAAAACCAATGCTACCATGCAGTAGTCTCGTGAACAACCATAAGTTAGAAAGGATGAAGAAGAAGGAAAGGGTCGGACAAAAGTAACAGAACAACTGGAGAAAGTCCTAGAAACGCCTAAAATTCGAAATCGTATTTCCAAATCAAAATTTGACAAATTACGATCAACGTGTATCTCTATCTCGTGACTCCAAGAGTTGACGAAAACACATAAGCCAGATGCCTCATTGAGACCAAGACATCACGACGAGACTGCACCTTGACGTGGTGTGATGGCTTGTGCACCTCTCTGACCCAACGAGCTACACAGGATGGCTTTATAAAGCCAGGAGATCTTATCATGCCTGGAAGGTTAATGGTTAGAGGTCAGAAGAAGTCCAGTCTCCTGGGTCCTCCAGGTTTGGAGTTCGTGCGGAGTTAGCGTCTCAGTCAGTAAAATGGTAGAGGAGTAGTGGATCCAAGTAAATGGGCCTCCACTTCACTTTACCCGCTGCCTTGTGGTCAGGTTCTTGCCAGAACCAAAGGCTTTGGACGAGAACCCTAATCGTTCTCCTGCTTAGTAGCTGGACACCTTATCAGTACCCGTCCATCAAACTCAAATGCATACACAACCAAAAAATAATTCCATACTGCATCGGTCGTCGCACAGGATAATCAGGACCGCGCTGCCCATTGCATCGAGCGGGTGGGTAATGATAAGTGGGCTACTGCTCAGATATCCCAACCCTTGATTAACTCTTTGTCTTCCGTACTCAACCCTCCCCGTTTACCCCTTCTTCTAACCCGTAACATTCCCTCAAACAAATAGTTCATCACTCGCCAAAGTTCGCTGCCAAGTAGCTCGGTAAGTAGTTTACCACAAAATAGATTGCACACTCCGAAGCCTCGTCAGCCTTCAACGTGAAGACTCTGATGCAGGTAGGTCAACAAGCATGTTTGGCGTGTAGAATGAACTCTTGGGGAATGGATGTCTGCTGCGTGTCGGAGACTCGAATTCAGCATCCTAGTACTATATGCCACTTAAGTGCACCGGGGTTGTCTTCGAGGTTCTTCCTCCGCA